AACTATTCCAGAAGGTCATTTCCCAAAGCTTATTTTCTACAATTTCTCTCTCATAATTCCATACACACATTCATTTCTAAACCTCAAAAAATAAAAAAGTTAACACCTTAAGATGGAGCACTGAAAACAAAATTTCAATCATAAAGGCACATTAAAATACTTTCTTTAGTAAAACTGCATAGTAAAAAAATTAGCAAAGACTCATTGTTGTTTTTTTTCCTGAGGTCCACACCCAACAATTCTCGAGTATTACTCCTGGCAATGCTTTGGTTACCATATATATCACTTCCTGGAATCAAACCAGGTTCAACTACATGCAAAGCAAGCATTTTGACCCCGATACTATAACTCTGCCTCCCTAAATTCACAAATATTCTGAGATTATTTGTCATTATAAAACTGGGAAAGAAAGCAGATATTTTTACCAATATGAGTCATTTGAGAAAACTGTGTAAACTCTCAATACGGTTTCCACACAAAAAGACTATCACATTAGTTAAATGTAGCAACACATTTTCATGTCTAGCTACTATTAACGTAGATTTGTGATTTCAACTGAAAACTTTTTCTACTCAATTTCTAGGACTGTAATTTGGCTTCACAGTTATAGGAAATGTGAATATTGTTACTTGGAAAGTTTAAAAGGAAATGGTGAAGGAATGGGTGTTGAAACATTGTGTGACCAAAACCCAATCATGAACAACTTTGGAGCTGTGTATCTCACTGTGATTTAATAATATATTAAGAAGAAGAAGAAGAATGTGAAATGCTAAAAAATATAAATAACTGACACTGAATCTTTTTTTTTAAAAAAAAAAAGTATATTCCAAAATACTGGTTAAACTCCACTAGAAGAAAACATCCAACCCCATCCAAAAATGGGGCAATGAAATGAACAGAAACTTTCTCAAAGAAGAAATCCGAATGGCAAAAAAGCACATGAGAAAATGCTCTACATCATTAATCATCAGGGAGATGCAGATCAAAACCACAATGAGATACCATCTCACACCTCAGAGACTGGCCCACATTCAAAAGAACAAAAGCAACTGATGCTGGCGCGGATGTGGCGAGAAAGGGACACTCCTTCACTGTTGGTGGGAATGTCGACTGGTTCAGCCCTTCTGGAAAACAGTATGGACGATTCTCAAAAAATTAGGAATTGAGCTCCCATTTGACCCAGCAATACCACTCCTGGGAATATATCCCAGAGAGGCAAAAATGTATAGTCGAAGTGACATCTGCACTTGTTTGTTCATTGCAGCACTCTTTACAATAGCCAGAAACTGGAAGAAACCTGAATGCCCAAGAACAGATGACTGGTTAAAGAAACTTTGGTACATCTACACAATGGAGTACTATGTAGCTGTTAGAAAAGATGAAGTCATGAAATTTACATACAAGTGGTACAACATGGAAAGTATCATGCTAAGCGAAATGAGTCAGAAAGAGAGGGATAGACATAGAAAGATTGCATTCATCTGGGGGACATAAAGTAACAAAATATGAGATTAATACCCAAGAATAGCTGAGATCAGCACCAGGAGGATTATTCCATAGCTTAGTGGCCAGTCGGGCATTCTAGAGGAAAGGGCAGCTCAGATAGAGAAGGGAACACCAAATAAAGGGTGTTTGGAGGATCCTCCCAGGAGGGGAGATGCATGTCGAAAGTGGACTATGGACTGAACATGTTTGCCACTCAATGCCTCTTTTGCAGACCACAACACCCAAAAGGAGAGAGAGAACACAGGGGACTGCCCTGCCACAGAGGCAGAGGGAGATGGGGGGATGGGGGTGGGGGGGATATTATCCATGGTGGTGGAAAATGGGCACTGGTGGAGGGATGGGTATCTGATCATTGTATAATCAAACCCAAGCACAAAAAATTGTAAATCTACAACTGTACCTCATGGTGTTTCACTAATAAAAAAAAAATTTTTTTTTAAAAAGTATATTCATGCTTTGATAACAGTTTCCCCAGATTCCATCATGTTATCAAAGCAAATGTTCATTAGCAGACATTATAGTGGCTTATATAACACTGTATCAATAAGCTGGTCAGATTCCATTATCATAATTTTGCACAATATATCACTATTGTCCTTTTAAAATAACAGAAATGCTATTGGCCTAAGTAAAACCAACATGACTATAAATTTCTTCTCAACTACTGAATTCACTTTAGAAAACAATATGGCAATCAGGGCTACACTATTGAATAACTGTAAAAGGTAGTATTCCACAAACTCCCCCAAAAGAAATATACGTATTATATATCAACTCTAACATGAACTTTAAAAATAACTACCTGAAAAAATTACACAACCAAATATCTTTTGGAAAATGAAGAAAAAGGGCAATCATGAAGAAGTCTAACCACTACAAGACTGTCTAGCTAAGTAATATTTACAAAGCTGAGACTCACGTCACTGGTCTCTATCCCCAAAATCAGAACTACCAAAAACAAATCTTTCACAGTTTTTCCACATTGCTAATTAGACTGTTTTATTTTGCACTGTGTTTTCTGTAAAGAGAGTACAATGTGATAAATTAACATGGCAAAATGTAGAAACGCCAGAATGATTCCAATTAATAAAATGGTGACAGGTTTATCTAAGATTCCAAAAATTATTTATAAGTGGGCTTCTAAGAATCCACATTCTTTTAAGTGACTGCTTTAATCATTTATTTTATTTCTTGAGGTGCTTAAGATCAGCTTGACAACACAAAAATAAGTATTCATTTCAGGTTTTCCAAGGTTTCCAGTATCTCATCTTTACCAGAAAGCCTATTTAATGGCAGCCAATTTGCAAGCATCAAATTTATGATTTCAGCTTCAGTAAAACAAGAAGAAATTAAAGTTCAGTTCAAGTATTTATGTTGGCACAGATTGAACAGACTACTTAAGACAAAACTGACACCAACGCTCCATTTTGCCATCACTCATTCCACATGCACTAGTTTTCACATTACTTTAATCAAGAGACAGACATAATGAGGCTATCATTTAAACTACTCAAATTCTTTACTCCTCCTTTATGAAAGTTTGACATCTTGGCTCAAATCACATATCTGCAAACTAAGTATGCATTCCACTAAAAGGACAAAGAAGGAAACTAGAACAACTTAGCTTTATTACATTTTTATTTCATGAAACAAAAATCGAAGTGAATACTCATAAGACTTCTGAGGTCAATTTTATCATCATTAGATCTTCAAATTTCCTTCAAAATGTCTGAGGAAAATCTCTATTGTCTTAAAAACAACTATTCAGAACTATAATGTTGCAATGATTCCAACAACTAAGCCACAAAAGCATCTTAAATAGCAAACATAATTAATTTTTAATGATAACAAAAAATATCTTTATTATCTTCACAGGTAACCAATAAATACTCTTTAGAAAGTACATTTTATCCTAACTCACTGGAAAATTAAAAGCTTAAAGGAAATGAGGAGAAATTATTTGATTTTACATTACTATAATTAAAACACATTTTATTAAATAATTTTATTTCAAAATATTTTTCAGGGCCTGACAGAAGGACAGGATAAGGCACTTGTCTTGCACAAAGCTGAACCCTGTTCAATCCCCAGCATCCCAAAAGGTAACTCCAAGCACTGTCAGGAGTGATTTCTGAGCATAGAGCTAGAAGGAAACTCTGAGCACAGATGGGTGTGGCTTCCCCAAAAAATATTTTTATAAATTTACCAGTTGTTATAATTTTCTATTTATTGATTGTAATATTTCCTTCTTCTTAAATCTTTATATATTTAATAGCTCCATAAGACTAGTAAATATTTAAGATTTATTCAAAGAAAGTATTTTGTCCTACTGGTAGTACTGAGAGAAACTGATGTTCAGGGGATTCAAAAAACACCTTATGATGAATATGACAAAAATCTGATTTGAGGAGGCCACCCCGGCAATGTTTGAACTTGGGGTCTGCAACATGTTAAGCAAGTACTCTACTACTTAAGCTATATCCCTGGCCCTTGGATTCATTAAAAGAAATGATATGTCTTATAATGAAAAATATTTAAATTTACTTAAAAATTTTTTGCCTACTATGCAGTGTTCAGGGATACAATGATACCTTGGTCAGATAGTTCAATGCTTAGGTCTGGAAATTTTAGGAGACAGAGAGAAATTACAGGTTGTAGGACACTTGCCTTGCATATGGTGAATTCAGGTTTGATCTCTGGTACCGAACATGATCACCAGAGCCTCGAGGAATGACCCCTGAATATATAGCCAGGAATAAACCCTGAGCACTGCTAGGTATGACCCCCCAAAGAACCCAAAAAAAATGTTTTGAAAACATAATTTTTACTTTTTTTAACAACTTGCTATTCATATACTCCATATTGTCAAACATTCTCTCCCCCCCATATATGTGTGTGTATGAGTATGTGTGTATATATATATGTATATATATATAATGACAATGAACCAACTTTTTGTTTTTTGTTTTTGTTTTGGGGCCACATCCAGTGCTGCTCAGAGGTTACCCCGGCTCTGCACTCACGAATTACTTCTGGCAGTGCTTAGGGAACTATATGGGATGCTGGGAGTCGAACTGAGGTCGGCCCTTGTACAAGGCAAGAGTACCCACCATACTATCCCTCCAGCCCCTGAGCTAACTTTTGACCACTTACCATGTACCCTTCACAATGATACATTTATTAAACTCTACATAAAATGTGTGTGGGATTATACACAACATTTTTGTCTGGTGAGTAAAATTCTTTAAGGTACTTTATAAATGTGGGGTGGGAAAGATGAGAAACAAAGTTAAACAATCCACTGGAAAGCACACAATTAATAGCAGAGATGGGATTCAAACCCAGAGAGTCTGACCTTGTATCTGATTTCCAAAGTACTATATTACATTGTGAAGAAAATACACAAGGAATATGTCACAATGCCTGAGACCCAAGAGGTGCTAAATAAACAAAAGTACAACCATTATCATACTATTTATAGCTTCTGTACTTACTCTGTGATAATTCTGGACTTCCCTTCAAATTCATCATCTTTGGTATTGATGGGCCATACACATCCACATCTAACAAGCCAATGGCCTTTGACTATAAGAAAACATAATTTATTTATTTAATTTATTTATATTTATTATATTACTCCCACTTCTCATCAAACATAAAGCTCATTGCATAGAACGTCCTGCTCCCGCGGCAAGCTGTCTTCACCAGGGCAACTCAGAGGGGGGCAGGTTGAGTTTCCCTCCCCCCACACAGCAGAGTCCCCCTCCCCTGCCACCATCAGCAGTCAAAAAACTCCAGAACCCAACTACATAGCCACGCTCAAGTCTGCTCTCCACAGGCTCGGATGAGCCTCACCAACAGGGGGAAGCTGCAGAAAACCCCAGATCTCATGACTGAGATCTCCAAGCTGGTGGCTTGGAACAGGACTGAACCTTCTCTCCCCAGCTCCCCACTTTTCCAGTAGCTTGGCAGTCACATCCGCAAACTGCCTCCAGTGCCATAAAATCTGATCAAGAGCCAAGATCCAGTGACTATGAAATAAAGCTCCAGGAGGAGAGCGACATAGAACGTCCTCTATGCAGCTACGTGACCTCTTATACTCTAGCCCACTGATGTACCAAAAGTAGCACACATTTGTTTGGGTTTAACAAACATGTTTGTTATCTCTTAGACAAGGCTTAAATGCTCCAGGATGAAATACAGTAACCTTCACAGACTTTCCTCTTATGGTGGTGGGAAGGTGCACAGTGGTGGGATTGGTGTCTGAATACTATCTGTAATAAACTATTGTGAACAACTTCATAAAAATAAAATTAATTTTTAAAAAGGCTCATTGCAGCAATAAACCTAACTGTTCAAAATACAGCTTGCAAAATATTCCAAAATCATAACCTAAACCAGTGCTTCCCAAAGTGGGCAATACTGCCCCCACAGAAGGCCAGGAGGTGGGGAGTGCAGAAGTGCTGTGGTAAGGCATGGTAGCAGTTTTGGCACAAAGCCCCTCCCAATCTGTTTGTTTCCCTGAGGAAGGTAGATGAGGGGGATGGAGGGAACAGGGTGACTTTTCTTTTAAGGGCACAATAGATCAAAAAAGTTTGAGAACCACTGAGCTAAATTTTTAGAACAACAACAGTATAAACTGTAATCATTTTCTGTCATTTCATGAAGTTCTTCTATATAATTGACTAGAGAAATTCATTACATAACCTTTATATAGTATGGTCCAGATCTCCCATATCAATTAATCTCCCAAATCAATTAAGACTCCTTTGATCTGAAAAATTGTACATTTACAATATTAAAAATAATGATTTACAATAGTAAGCAAAGCCTTAAGAGGATAGAGCACTAATTTTTAGAAAGTTCCTAATACAGATATCAAAAGAAAAGAAGAAGAAATAAAAGAAACATCAGAGAAACAAAATAATAAAGCAAGTTAGAAATTCTAATGCAGATATGGCAAGGAAATATTAACAAGGACAGTGACCAACACAACCCAGAGACCTCTTCTGTGCAGGCCACAGTGAGAAACCATGGCCTTCTGGAGAAGTCATCATAAACGGACAGCTTCCTCTGATGACCCTTCTAGCAACCCAAGCACACCAGAGTCTGACTGTTCTCTGCTGGTTCCCAGTTAATCAGCAGATCAGACAAGGGAAGGAAAACAAAATTTGCCCTTCCCAAACACCTTTGATCTTCTCCCCCGATTCCTCTTCCTCCTTCGCTAGATTATAGAAATCTATTATTAGTTTTTTTCATATACAAATAAATGAGTACTGATATTAACTGTATGTTTCACTAGGACATACAACTCTTCTCCTTTTGCTCTATTCTAAAGAAATAAAGTTCTGGAGGAAAAATTGGTGAACATTGAAACCATAAACTTCTCTTTTCCTTTTTATTTTATTTTCAGGACATATCCAGCAGTATTCAGGGCTTAAAACTGGCTTTGCAGTCAAGGATCACTCCTGGCAGGACTCCGGAATCCATATGGGGTTTCAGGAATTGAATCTATGTTGGCTGTATGCAAGGCTATCTTTCCAGTTCCATAAACTTTAACACTGCCAGACACAGTAACATATTGCCTAAATTATAATTTTATCAATTCTTTTTGTTGTTTTTGTTTCTGTTTTGTCTTTGTGGGCCACTCCTGGCATTTCTCAGGCGCTACTCCTGGTTCTATCTCAAGAGTGACTCCTGGCACTACTCAGAGAACCATATGTGGTTCCAGAAATCAAGCCAGGGGTAGGCTGCATACAAGGTAAGTGCCTTAATCACTGTACTTCTCTCTGGTTCATCAAAAGAATTCTTTGGGTTAGGGATATGGCTCAGAGGTATGACATTTGCCTTGAATATTTGAGATCCTGGGTTCCATTCTCAGCATCACCTTAAAAAATAAAAATCTTAAATAATACCTCATCTTCTATATTATCTACCGATTTCCAGAAAGAAATTTACCTCCTAAACATCACTGTCTGATTCCAATGAACAAAAAATAAGGTAAATTCAACAATTATGTTCCTAACTCTATACTAATTCAAATTGCAGTTCTAAGAAAACAATTTAATATCTATGTGTGACTTACTGAAATTAGGAACTATGGATTAATATATGTCTTTCAAAATCAGCTTATTAGGGGCTAGAGTGACAGTATAGAAGGGAAAGTGGTTGCCCTGAATATGGCTGACCCCAGCCAGCCCTAACCCCACATACGGTCCCCTGAGCATCCCCAAGTCTTACCCTGAACAGTCAGAAATAGCCCTGAGCACTACAGGGTATGCGACATCAAACCCCCAAAAATCATCATATTGTAAAACAATCTAGGAAATAAAATAATCTAGGAAATGCTTTACCTTTAGGTTTAATGTAATTAAGGATAAACTTTTTTTAATAAAAATATTAACTTTCAAAAGGTAGGAGCATTCCATACAAATTTTGACCCATTTCAACTCACTTATAAACCATAAACAAGAATTTATTTGAATTAAAATTAAATTTACTCTGGATAACAATGTTTTCAAGTGAAAGGACCTAAAACCTGAAAATGTAGAAACTGCTAATATAAATTTTTAAGAGTCTGCTGACTATGATTATCACCCTAGAATTTCATTTATTTTCTATTTTTTTCTCATGACATCTATAGAACCTAAAATCTCCCACAAAATAATTCCAATTTTATAAAAAGTGAAACTTTGGTACCACAGCTTCAGATAAAACTGCCCTAAAATGTCTTAGGGGGGGTTGATTTCACATGTACCTTGAAGGTTGATGATAATCAATACCACATGAGATTAAGAGGGCAGAACAGAGATGCTTCTGTTCTGTTTATATTCTAGCCCTATGAGAAGTTAACAACTGACTTCAGTTTACTGTCAAAGCTTACATGTATGAAAAGGCAATGGAAGTGAGGAAGGTATGACTAGGTAGAGGGAGGAAAAAGGAAGAGGAATGACAAGGAGGAAAGAGGCAGGAAAGGAACGGAAAGTTTTATCAGCAATATTCTATGAAGATACTGCGTGCACCAATACTGTACTAGAGGTCTGGCTGGCATAGGCCCGCTGACCCCAGTGCTGAGCTCTGCACCCTGCCTGTGGTCCCGCCTAGCCCCTGCCTTACTGCAGGACTCCTGAAATGTGTCCTGTCCACCCCCCAACCCCCAACCTCAGGCCTACTACTCTAGAAGGCAAGGTCAGAGGAGTGCTGCCGATGTAATCAGAAGTGTCCACCTCAGCCAGTCCATTTTCACCCTCTCCAGGGGGGAGGAGGAGGAGGAGGCCCTGCCAGCCCTGTCCCACCAACAGGACCCTCTTTGTGCACTATGAGCCAAGACTGGACAGTCCTGACTTCACAATTTCAATACCATCCTTCACTGCTGTCTGGCTAAAGCATTTCTTAGTCCCTTTTGGACAGTTTTCAATTGTTTGCATAGTAAATATAATTCAGCTGTGACCTCCTGGGTGTGTTTTATGTAAATTAAAGTCTCTGGTTTTAACTAACAGGGATGAGACAGGAATGGGGGTGGGGGGGGAGGCAGAAAGAACCTACATAAATAGTTCTCTAGCTAGCTTGGGGAAATGGGGTGGAGGAAGTGCAGGGGGTGAAGGAGGGGGATCAGTCTTTAAAAACACATCACCCTAGATAACGTCACCCAAATAAACACGCGGACATTGCCTGACTTATCTCCCACTGCTGGAATTCCTTCCTGGTGCCAGACACCCAGCTAAACATTTTGTTTATATTTCTCATTGACTTCTCACAGCAACCTCTGCAAAGGGTAGAACCTTCCTAAGATGAGAAAGTGTAAAACTAATCCTAGGATGAGAAAGTGTAAAATCAACACTCGAAATGAGTTTTTGAACAAGACTTCAAAGTTAAATGGTAAATTAAACACAAATACACTAGCTTCATAAGCCTCTACCAGAACTTGATCCGACAACAAAAGACTAAGAGAAAGGGCCCAGGGAGAAAGTGCAAAGGGATGGAGCCCCAAAGCCCCCTCCTCTGGGAATAACTGGATCCCAGCACTGCTGGAGCTGAAAGAGTCTGCACCTTTTTCTCTATAGGGCAAACAAGTATTAAGGGGCTAGAGAGAGAGCACAGGGGGTAAGGCCCTGCCCTATATGCAGCTAACCCTTGTTGGAGGTCCTCTAGTACTTCAATGGGAAGAGCTGTGTGAGGTGAGGAGGTGGGAGGAGAGTAGGGGATTGGGGAGAGGAGAGCAAATAAACTAATTTAAAAAGTTATTCATCGTTTAAAATCTCCACCAGCAAAAAGGTTTCTAGTAAAAATAGGTAACGGGATGGCTAGGGGGTAGGATTTGTAGGAGATATTGAAGGTCTCCGCTAGACAACTCTTCTTACCCCTCCACCTACAATCAGACAGATGGCCTAAGGAGAGATACTCACCATGTACACACAGCCGGAGCAATAGCACAGCGAGTAGGCATTTGCCTTGCACGCAGCCGACCCAGATTTGATTCGTACACCCCTCTCGGAGAGCCCAGCAAGCTACTGAGAGTATCCTCCCTCACCCCCCCCACAGAGCCTGCCAAAAACAGTAACAAGTCTCACAATGGAGACGTTACT